AAAAAAAAAATAGACCAAGTATTTTTAAGCATTTATTTTTCATAATCCTCACAATAGCCCTATGTTGTATGTGCTATTATCTCTATTTTTATGGATGGGAAATAAGGCATAAACTCACAGTAGGTCCAGGATTTAAACCCAGAGAATCTAATTCAGCTCATAACTGTAGTAACCAACCTGTCCCTGCAGTGTGCTGGCCTCCTGAACAGAGATATAAGCTTTCTTCAGTTCATTACTTGCTTTTTTTTCTCCTCAAGTTGCCAGCTTTACTCCTTAGGTACCGATCTCATGGGCATATTAAGTTGTTCTCCCTACATTAAATAACTTGTTAAAGTCACATGACCTGTCAGCAAACTTGTGGACTCAGGTCTTCTGATTAGTAGATAATTGCACCAGAAATTTAACAACTATATGTATTTATGTGTGTATGTGTTTATGGGTGTGCGCACACCTACACACCCATAGGGAGTTTGTGCTCTTATTCCGTGAAATGACTCCAACTATTTCTCCTGAGTATCAGCCCCTTCTCTCTCCTTTATCATTTTGTATATCCGCCTCACCCCTGAAAACTGAACTCATGTTCTCCAGACTTATACTATAAAGAAGTGATTGGAGGAATGCTGGCACAAAGAAAATCAATTCTGAAGCAACCATAGCAGTCTCCCCAAGGTAAGGAAGGTGTGATAACTGATAGTCATGGATGGTGGTGATGGAAACTGAAAGGAAGCAGCAGGAACATTTCATGAGAGTAAGAGAGAAGGGCCCTGTCCCCTCTCTAGATCTCCAGAGGTGGGAGGTGAAAGATTTAGACGTGACTTAGATTTGTTTTGGAGCATTGAGGAGCAAGAGAAAGTGGAAAACCAGGCATACACAGTGGTGAGGATGAGTAAAAGGGTTTAGGCAGGGTTGGGCATCTTTTGGAGGCAATACATTTTGTTTCAAATAACAAAGTTTGAGCGGGTATGTCAAGGCATTCAAATAGAATTGACTTTCTGGCCACTGGAGGTGGAAGAATAGCTCCTCTGGGAGAAGAATAGAAATCTGAATAGTTCCAGCTTGGAAATGGTTCTTAAAGCTGTGAGATATGGGTGTAAATGGGAAGAGATACTGAAAAGGAATCCCAGAGTTTTAACTGGGCTTTAGAGATCCATCTATCTGATGCAGTAGTGTTATTTGCTTCTTTTTAAAGGTCAGATGAAATGCATCATTGAAAGGAAGGCAGAGTTGCTGTGGTTGAAGGGGGAAAGGATGGTCTGGGGGTGGTGGACAAATGCAGTCCTTCAGCCACATTTTTCTTCCTTTGTCTCTAAACCCTTTCATGTACAGGTGATGAAGTGGTCCTGAGGGTGACATGACTACATCCAATCAGTGGCATGGGCAGAACTAGAAACCAGTCACTAGCTTTTCCATTATGCCCAGAAAACTCCAAAGAAATTTTAAAATAGTTTTTATTTACCTTTTCTTTCCATGGAAACTAATGTCCAGGCCAGCAGCTTCCCTGCATTCTGTGGGAGGGACAGCACTACAGACAGGCTCTTGGCCTTGATGGCCCTCTTGTGGTTCTATCTCTCCAATGGCTCCTGCTCAGGCTTCATATTTCCGTGTCTGCATGTGCTGCTCACAGATCATTTGTGTGTTCATATCCACATCTGGAACTTCATTTTAAACTGCTGACAAGTCCTAAGTCAGTCTCTAACCTGGACAAGGTGGCTCAAGGATTGTGTCCAACTGCCTACTGAGTAGCTCACTTGGATGTTTCATTGGCACTTAAGTAACAAATCCAGCCAGGTTTTAGAATCACCGTTAAATACAATCATTCAATAAGTTTGGGAATCTAGATTAAATGGATGATTTTAAAAATTGGGTTTTTTTTTCACAGATTGTAAGTGCCCCAAATTGACTTAGAAACCACTACAGATTGATAAGCCAAGTAGAAATTAAAAGGTTCTTTTTAAAATTTTTCCTTGAAATTAAAAGGTTATTGAAGATCTTCCTGATACAACACTGGGTCCAGATAAGTCTGTTAAGCTCCAGAAAACTTTTAAGTGCTATATATTTCTACTTAACTTTTAATTATGAAAGTTTAAAATTTTAAAACTTTGCAAAGTTTTTAAATAGTACTGTGAATAACTAACCTCCTCCTAAATTTGGTAATTTTTGTCGTATTTGCTAAGTATATAAACGTATTTTCTTCTTGTTGACCGTTTTTAACTCAGTGGAATGTTCTGACACCTTACCCCTAAATATTTCTGCATGCATTTCCTAAGACTAGAGACATTGGCATAATCACAATACCAATCATTCACAAAAAGCCAAATCATTAAAGCATAATTGTCCCTCAATATTTCCATAGAGTTTGGGTTTTTTTTTTTTTAATCAGGATCTGTTTTAAATTAATTTTAAACTATTCCAGGTCATTAACAAAGCAAGTTTAAAATCCATTTAATGATTCCGGTCCGTAAATATGACAAAGCACCCTTCCACCCACAAAACACAAAAATTAGAAATATAAATTAATATAAAATTAATAAATATAAAGGCCAAATCCCAAAATAGAATATTATCGAGCCGATTTCAGCAAGTAAGCAGACTGTTTTGTGGTTGAGGATATTGTTTGCACCCTCAGGGTCTTTTTTCCCCTCCCTTCTTCCATCTCCAGTTACATAGTAGTCTTGGTCTCTCAGCTCCAGCCAATCAGCACACGGTAGTATGCCCCAGAGGCGGTCCAGCTGACCGGAAGTTCAGTTCTCGGGCGGAAGTTCAGTGCTCCGCCTTACAAGTCAGGGCTGTGCCACCCGGGAGATCCCGCTTATTAAACATTTAACAGTACACCGCCACGACTTAGGCTGCCTTTTTTGCCTTTGGGAGCATTTTCCTTTCTGGGCTGTGTTATAATTAACCGTTTTCCATTGGTTCATCCTGGCGCAAACAGCGGACCATTAGGAGTTTGAGGCGGAGATACAGCTAGGAGGTAGAGCGCGTAGGCAAAGTCCAGGGTTCCAGTCCCAGCATTGCACGTACGCTCACGCACGCGCGCGCGCAAAACAAAATTAGGGTTTGAGGCAGGGCCTGGTGCTGCCAGCGAGGCGGGGGCGGAGCCTCAGGTGAGACCCCGCCCCTTGCACGCCGCGGCGATCAGCCGGGGGCTCTGCTTTTGGCCATCGCAGACGGTGCATCCAGGGACAGTCATGGCTAGTAAGTGGCGCAGGCGCCGGGCAGGAGGGGAGGCATTGATACGGCGCCGGCGAAAATCTGCCGGCTTAGCCCCTGTGCCTGTGGCCTTCCAGATGGCAGGTGTTCGCGGGTTCGGGCTCGGCGGACGCTAGGAGGCTCAGAGGGCCGCCGGCGGCCCTGGTGGGATTCCAGGTTTCGGGAAGGCCGACAGGCCGCGCGAGCCTCGGGCTGCCAGCCACCTGTGGTAGCTCCCCTCTGCTCCCGCGTCTTGCCTCCTGGAGGCTGACCCTCGTGCGTTCTCGGTGCAGTGGGTTGTGGTTACAAACTCCATAGTGCTAACTCCCACTCCGCGAAAGGGCGCTTCTTCACCGACGGGTCTCCCTATGTCACTTTGCAGTTCCAGATTTTTTTTTTTTTTCTTTTTTGGTGCTGGGATCGAACCCAGGGCCTCACGCATGCTAGGCAAGCGCTGTACCACCGAGCTACATCCCAGCCCTGCAGTTCCAGATTTTGACTGTGCCGCGTATTTGTGCAGTTTTCCCCCTGCAAGCCTCTTGTTTCCTCTCCTGTAAATGTTACCTCACAGGTGTTTGTATGAGTAAAGGACCTGGGATATTCCTTTAAATGTTATTCCCATGTTGGTCTCTTGTGTGTTTTATTTTTTCCCTTGGGTCGTCTTTCACTGTCAGATTAGGGCAGTCAAGGATCTTAAATTACTGTATCTTCATTTTACAGATGAGGAGATGAAGTGAGATGTCTCTTCCTCAGAGTGGAGGATCTCCCCAGTAGTGGGATTTCCCTGCTGCAACACTTTGCAGAGTGGGAGATTTGCAGAATGTGTGGCAGTCCCAAGCCTGGGTCAGGACACTCCCTGTGGGTGGGATGGATAGAGAGGAAGCCATCAGCATAGCCACTTGAGCTTTATTCTCCTTCCCTCAGAAGCAGAGACAAGCACTCCCTTCTCTCCAGTTTCTCAGTTACAGGGGAAATGTAGTGGGTTTGTGTGATGTTCTGGTGACAGCTCCGGGTATCTGTTTGCCTGAAAGTAATGCCAACCTTTGCTTCCTGTTTCAGTTTCTTTTGTTTTCATCCAAATTCGGGAACTATTTAACAAGTTGTATTCAGGATTTAATTTCATTCTTCTCAATATATTTATGATAAACTAAAGACTGAAACATCTGAATTTCGTACTTTTAAGGTTAATTCTGAGCCAAACAGGCCTCCATTGGAGGCCAGGTTTGTCAGTGTAGGTAATCACTGTGAAACCACAGTTCCATCTAAATTCAGTGGTCATATCTGATAACTGTTTTGTTTGTTCTCAGCTTTCCGTTTGGCCCTCATCCAGCTTCATGTTTCTTCCATTAAATCAGATAATGTCACCCGAGCTTGTAGATTTGTCCAGGAGGCAGCAAAGCAAGGAGCCAAAATAATTTCTCTGCCAGTAAGTATGGAGGCAACCATACATTTCTAGATGCTGTAGACCTAGCAGAATAGAGTTTACTATCTCTGATTGTCCTTTTGTGTCCCAGCTCCACCATTGTCTTTTGAAGCCCCAGTATTGTTCTGTGTTTGTCATATCTTTGTCTATCACAAAGACCTTAGCAAGGGTCTTTGTCATGGGATGTGCCAACAGATACAGGTCTTTAACTATTGGATCACCATTCTGTTTTGATCCTAATATATTGAGGGACTTCAGTGCATGTATACTTAATTTATTCCTTGTATAATACTTTTTTATGGCCAGGACATGCTGGGTTTAGCACTAAACCTCCAACATTTTTTGAAAAATGACTGAAAAATTGATTTGAGACATTTAGAAGCTTGTGGCTTCCAGCTGAATGTTATACCACATGTTTGTCAGCAAGTACAGGATTAGTCCCCAAGAGGGGTCCCTAGATGTCAAGACCCACATCTTCTGTCATCTTTTTCAAAGTCCTTATGGGAATAACCCCACCCCCTCCAGCTATGTTAACCCTGTGTAGACAGGAGAATTTTCAGGGCTCCCCTGCCTTTTTAGTCAGGCTTCAGCCCAGTGGCCAGTGAGCAGGAAACTTTAACACAGGAGGTCAGCATTTTACTGTTAATCCAGTCTTTTTATTGTACCAGTCATGAGACCTATATTCCTTACCTACTTGTAGTCTCTTGTTAATTTATGTTGCTGAAAGAGTAAAGACCTAGGAAAGAAAGTGTTGAGTTCTGCGCATGCTCATTTCATTGACTCTCTGACATGCATCTTGAATAAGCTAAGGATCTTTGGGTTTGACATTCCTAGCACATGCCTGGTATATGGGCGATGTCATTAAATGCAAAGCAACAGAATTTGAGTAAATGTCTAGTAATTTTTGCTTGTCATTTTCTAATATGACAGATAGCTATTAAACACCCCACTCCACAATGAGTAACTTCAGACGATCAGAATGGTAGTGCTGAAAGGGAACTTAGAAACCAGCTCATTTACAGGTGAGCAAATGCCTTAATCTCTATGGCTTCAGAATTAAAAATATATCTATATCTATATATATGTACATGTCGATATGTACATATACATACATATCTATATGTAGATATATATAGATATACATGTATAGAGATATAAATATATATATAGCTTGTGTTGTTTTACATAGTTAATAATATGATTTTGAACTCAAGAATTCATCCCAATACTGAAAGTCATGTGAGTAAGTCTGATTTTTAGTGGGGCTTAGGTGCCAAGGTTGGGAATTGGTGCTACAGACTCAAGGTATAGCCTTCTGCCCAGGTGACCAGGATATGGTGGAGCTCATACGACTTGCTTCCTCTAGCCCCACCTAGGATAGTTGCCACAGGCTTTTATTCCTAGAGTTTTTCCTGGCTGTGTTTTACCCATTCAAATAAGTACAGAACTAGAAACAGCAACTATGGTCTCCATTCTGCAAAACTTTAAAATGGTTTGATGTTTTGGTGGGTTTTTTTCCTCTGCCTATGTTATTCTAGGAATGCTTTAATTCTCCGTATGGCACGAAATATTTTCCTGAATATGCAGAGAAAATTCCTGGTGAATCCACACACAAGCTTTCTGAAGTAGCAAAGGAGTGCAGCATATATCTCATTGGAGGTAATTTCCTTCTTGTGGTATAATGTACTAAACATTGAAAACATTTCAATGGTTTTTGTTACATTAAAACTGTGCATTACAGTTCAGCCATTGAAAAGAATTAGATTCTTGGGCATGGTGGTGCACGCCTATAATCCCAGCACATTTGGGGAGGATGAGGTAGGAGAATTGTGAGTTGGGGCCAGCCTGGGCTATACAGTGAAAATCTCTCAAAACCAAAACCAACAACAACAACAAAAAAGAATGAGGCAGATTTATATCTAGTAATGTAGATAAAGCTTCAAGATACTTTCTAGTGGGAAAAAAGCAAATTCAATATGATTATGAACAGTATATTCCCATTTGCTTAATCCCTCCCCAAAAGATAACCGTATATTTTTATGTGTAGTTATGTAAAGGCACAGTAAATACTGTGGAAAGACACACAGCAAACTGATATTGATGATTTTTCTCTGTAGAAGGAGTGGAAATACAGGTAGAAATGTGGAAAGAGAAGACATATCCAAGTATTTTATTTAACTAATAGAGGATTCAGAAATCTATAGGATTCATAGAAGCCACAAATATAAAGGCAGCTTTATTTTTGTGGTTTTGACATAAACTTTAAAATGTTGTATTTGCTAAAATAAAAAATGAACACAATAAATACATTTTCATTAAACTTAGCAAACAAGATTATGTCTGTGTTATGATATATTAAGGATGAGAAATCAGAGGTAGCAAACAAGAAGCTATTGATGGAACTGCATTCAGTAATGAAGAGATCTATGACATGATATTCTTACGGGAATAAGCCTCTGAGTGTACAGCTTTTTTTTGCTGTACTGGTATTTGGACTTGGAGTCCACACCTTGGGCCACTCCACTAACCCTTTCTTTATGATGGGTTTTTTTGAGATTCGGTCTTGAGAGTTATTGGCCCGGGCTGGCTTTGAACCGAGATCCTCCTGATCTCTGCCTCATGAATAGCTAGGATTATAGGTGTGAGCCACCAGTGCATGGCAGGGATACAGCTTTGTTGTAGGACCTGGTGAATTTAAGTTGAATAATGAGAAATTCCTCATTTTGCACTAATGTTACATAGTGAGTGTTGCTCAAGATAATGGCTGAATTTCAAGAACAGCTTGGTTATTTTTTAAACCTGCCTCTTTGGCATCTGACCTAATATTTTATCTGCACTTTGGAATTTGTCTCTGAAAGCTAAATTTAAAGAAGAAAATAATGCTTAAATAATGCTCAGAATGGAGTGAATTTATTATTGGACCAAAATGACAATTTATCAGGCCTTTGTCCAGTTATCACAAAATAATTGCTCCATCCTTCTTTGTTCTTATTGTTTTGTGTGCTTGCAATGAAAGGCTCTATCCCTGAAGAGGACTCTGGGAAGTTATATAACACCTGTGCTGTGTTTGGGCCTGATGGAGCTTTACTGGTCAAGCATAGAAAGGTAAGTAGGGGATATGTCAGTCTCATTGATTAAGAATTTGCTGTGAAGCCTCATCCCTCTTATTTTGTACACACATTATATGTTTGACTGAATTTTTTGGTGGGGAGGGGTGATGCTGGAGATTGAACCCAGGGTCTCACATGTTCTACCTTAAACTATACTCCGAGCCTACTTTTTGGTTTTATTTTGTTTTTGAGGTAGTGTCTCACTAACTTTTCTCAAACTGGCCTTGAACTCTCAATCCTCCTGCCTCCTCAGCCTCCCAAGTAGATGAGATTACAGGATGCACCATCATGACCAGCTGATGCATTTGATTGATTGGCACAGTCACTGTTCTTGGCAACTTGCATTTTTATGCAAATGACTCAAACTGTCAATTTCTGTAAAGGAATATCCTACAAGAATTTGTATTAGGATTTCATTGATTATATAGGGATCAATTTAGGGTGAGTTTGCAGTATTAAACATGTATACATCTAGGATTGTTAAATTTTCCTGATGAATTTATCATTTTATTATTATGAGATGTCTTTTTTTCCCTTGCCTTTGTTTTTTTTGTCTTAAAGTCAAAATTTGGGGTTTGAACTCAGAGATTTGCACTTGCCAGGCAAGCTCTCTACCATTTGTAACAAATGCCCAAGGCTGGTCTCAGACCCTGATTCTCCTATCTATACCTCCCTTGTAGCTGGGAATTACAAGCATGTACTGCCATACTTGACTAATCTTTTCTTTTCTTTCCAACCTATAATGTCTTTGTATTTTAAGTGATTCTCTTTTAGACAGTATAGATAAGTCTTACTTTTATTCTTATTGACAGTGTCTTCCTTTTAACTGGAGTGGTACATCCATTTATATTTAATATGATTAGTGAAATGATTTGATTTATGTATACAGATATTTTCCCTCTTTTGACTCTTTTCTGCAGTCTTTTGGGTTTTTAAATTTTTTAAGAATGACACTTTAATACATCCGCTGGTTTTTTCTTAGATACTATTTTTTTGGTGGGATTGGGGTTTGAACTCAGGGCTTTGTGCTTGCAAAGCAGGTGCTCTACTGCTTAAGCAATACTCTTAGTCCATTTTTCTCTGTTATTTTGGAGCTGGGGTCTCATGAACTGTTTCCTGGGCTGGAATCAAACTACAGTCCTCCCTATCTCAGCCTCCCAAGTAGTTAGGATTACAGGTGTGAGCCAACAGTGCCCTGCTTGCTCTATTAGCTTTTTAAGTGTACTTCCCCCCAACCCCAATCTTTTTGCTGGGTCTTGTGCATGATAAGTGCACTGAGCTACTGAGCTATATCCCCAGCCATACTTAAAAAAATGTTATTTTAGTTGCCCAGGGAATTATAATACGCATTCTTGTATCTTTAACTTGCCAAGGTCATTTAACAAGAACTTTGCAGTCCTTTGAGTTCTATTTCCTGCCCCCATTCTTGTAGTTGTAGTTGGTCAGATGTCCCAAAAACAGTATTTTAAAGAAATTAAGAAGAAAAAAAATTAAGCCAGGCATTGGTGGCTTTTTTCTTTTTAGGATATCCTTTATTGCTTTTCAGTTGCTATGAAAATTTAGCCTCTGGTTCTTTAAGTCAGTTTGATTATGGGGAGGTATTTTTTTTTTTTGGTTTTATTTGTTTGTTTGTTTTACTACAACTCATAATAGGGACTGGGGGCCTTGTATAAGACTGAAAGCTATAAATAAACCGGAAACTCCCCCAGTGTTTCCCTTCTTCAGGTGCTGACTTCCCTTCAGGTTTTGCCTGCTTGCGGTTATCCCTCAGTGCTTTAAGTAGTTATGCCTTTTATTTTGTCCACATGTCATGGCTAAACATGAACAAGCTGGTCTCAGGAGCCACTCTACCATTGCAGGAAAAAGAGCCAACGTCGGGCTGTTAACTCAGCCCTTTGAAATATATCTTTTCAGTACTGAGTTTACCTGTTCATGAACTTAATTTATTAGACATTCTTTAATTTCTCTCAATTTCTTCTCATAATTTTCTGGGTATAGTATTATATGTTTCTTGTTAGATTTAGTCTTTTAGTATTTTTGATGGTTTTTTTTTGTTTCTTGCTAGCATAAAGAAATACACCTAGTTTTTAAAAACATTGATCATATATATAAACTGTGCTGAATTTGTTCTAATAATTTATTTGTAGATTTTTTGAGTGCCAATTTTATAATCTAAAACTAATAACAGATTTCTTTCTTTCTTTCCAGTCCTTATACTTTTTATTTCTTTCTTGTACCTTTTTCCTCTGTTTAGGATCTCTGCTAATCTGCGTTTCCAGTCTCAGAAGGAAGGTTTTCAATATTGTCAATGTTTCAGTATTTTTAGGGTTTTTGAAAATCATTCTATTAAATTAAAAAAATTTCCCTTCCTAGAAGAGTTTTTCTGTTTTGTTTTTTCAATCATGAATGGTTGTAGAAGTTTACCAAATGCAGGCTAGGGACATAGCTCAGAGGTAGAGTGTTTATGTAACACATGAGTGTCATGGGTTCAATCCCCATTACTCCTAAAACCAAACCAAAACAGTTTACTAAATGCTCAGAATACATCTCTTGAGATGATCATTTGATTTTCTTCTTTATTTTATTCATGTGATAAATTATATTGGTTGATTTTTCTGATGTTAAACCACATTTGCTTTCCTTGATTAAATCTCATTTGGAAGTGATAAAATTTTCTCTTTATACATTGCTGAATTTGGTTCACAAAATGTTACCTGTTTTTAAATGCTGTTCATTCTCTACCTTTCCTGCAAATTTGTCAGTTTGATTCTGATTCTGAGAAGTCTTCACTTAGCATTTATAATGAGTGAAAAAAAAGCAACACATTGCTTATATCTAGAAGAAACATGGACATTGATTTGCACACCATATAGAAAACAGGCTGTAAGACTGACAGCATCATTTTCCCAGTTTCCTGTAGTAGAATTCCTTTTGATCAGATGTCAGCCAGCTTGTGGGTGCATTATGGGCAGGTTAGGGGTGCTGTTTGCCCAGTTGATCTTAGAGCACTTCCCTTCTGATGAGAGAAAGATGTCTGCTACTACTGCTATGAACCCTGCTGGAAGAGAGATAACCGATCAATTATTTGTAATGCAGATCCATCTGTTTGACATTGATGTTCCTGGGAAAATTACATTTCAAGAATCTAAAACATTGAGTCCTGGTGATAGTTTCTCCACATTTGATACTCGTACGTACCAGATAAGTTTGCCTTTTAGTATCCCAGAAAAAAGGAGCTGGTATTTCTTTCTTTATCTTTTATGTCTCCCTCCAGTTTTTTCACATAACCTGACTGAAAGACTAGAAGCAAGGAAGGCAGAGAATAGTCAGATGTCTGGGAAGTTTGGGCTGAATGGAGAACTAAGGTTTTGACATGATTTTGCAGTTCCATTTGGTCACAGCTTGTGATATAGCTTCCATAGTGTTCCACATAGTGAGCATTCAGTTAGAATGAATTTTTCATATCTACTCTGATGTCATAAATGATGTCTTTAAGCTGAAATCTTAACTGGACTGAAGTTATTGTCTCCATCCAGAGGTTCTGTATTCATTTGTCCCTGCTAATGTTTTGTGATCATGGGGGCTTTACCCTGCCACACTGTGCTACAAGAAGTTAAGCTATCATTTGTGCATGTTCCATTTGCAAACAGCTTACTGCAGAGTGGGACTGGGCATCTGCTATGACATGCGCTTTGCAGAACTTGCACAAATCTACGCCCAGAGAGGTAAGGCAGTCTGTGTTTGGGTTACGTAGTTGCTTGGAGGTTTGGTTCTGGGCTGGTTTCTACGGGGTTGGAGGGAGCCTTTAGCACAAACTTCATACAAAACACACAAAAATTTTGCACAAAAAAAGCTGAGTGTAGCGCCTTAATCTCTCCATGTGTAGCTCCTTCACTCCCGTTTGGCTAATCAGATTTCTGCTATGTAGGGTTTTTTGTTTTTCGGGTGGGTGTACTTTAACACATACCCTATAGGTAAGGTAGGAGCTATGCCCCTAAATGTCTGCCCTACCTTTTGACCCCCCCTTCCCCTGTATTACTGTGTTTGGAGTTACTTGGAGCCCAGTAGAAATGAAGCAGTGATCTACATTCTCATGGATTTTAGCACTCATATATGTAGTCATTGACATTTTGGTCCAGATAAGGAGATATGTGTTAGTGTTAGCAAATCACACCCACCCAAGTAAGAAGATCTAGACCTTAGTTCCATCTCTTCTGCTTAACTGACACAATATTTTGAGTAAATCATTCAGCTTCTACAGCAGTGTGGTTTTAAATTTCCTCATAGGAGTGGTATGAAGATTAAAGAGAGAACCTTTGGTAAGATCACATATTAGTGTTCTTACCACTAGACTGTTGAAGCTACTTCCAATTCAGCTGTCACTTAACAAAGTGAAGTGGTGAGGATAGTTTGACTGCTGCTCCACAGAAAGTGGCGGTACATGGGCTCTGGGCTTAATAAGTACTAGAGCAACTACTTTGCCCTAATTTCAGTGGAGTCACATCACACAGTTCTTGGCCATATGGTACTGACCATACTGTACTGAGAGAAATTTGTATGACAGTTCTCCACCTTTTTAAAGTGAAGGCGTAAGTTCTGATTTCAGCCATCAACCCCACTTTTCTTATGGGTCTGTGTATTACGTATGTATCTCTAAAAGAATTCAGAGCCATATCTTAATGCTGCTGACTGTCTGACTAGGTTGACATCTGACACCTTTTTGTGCTTGGAAAAGTTTAAGTTTGGTCCCTGGTGGGTAAGGAATAAAGAGAGAGATGGGGGTCATTGAGACCTTACCTGTATCCACTGTTCTTTGGCATTTTACTCCCCAAGGCTGCCAGCTGTTGGTGTATCCTGGAGCTTTCAATTTGACCACTGGACCAGCCCACTGGGAGTTACTTCAGCGAGGCCGGTAAGAAACAAACCAAGCATCTCAGTGTTTCCTCTTTGTGGAAAGATTGCCAGTTTTATGGGAGTACCAGCTTTCCTGAAATGGAATTCCTCTGACCTAGCATGCCTTGGCATCCAGATGCAGTTGGAAAGGTAAATCTGCAGGGAGCATACAAGCCATAAATCAACCTCAAGGATTTTGACTATGGGTTTTGCATTTTCTAGATCATCATTTGGGCAGTGGTTTCATTTTTCTATGATTAGACATGAACTCTCCCCTCCACTATTTTTTTTGGTTTGACACTCTTATCGTTTGATCCATACCCCCAGCCTCGAGTGGTCTATCGCAAGACAGTTGCCATCAACTTTTATAGAGAAATTGAGAACCACAGAGTTTATGTGCTCAATAGTCCCAGAAGCCAAGGGAAAGGCAAAAAGTTAGTTCAGCCTGACAGTTCTAGAGCGATTGCAGAATCCATGCAGCTGATTCTGTTGTTCAGATTGGGTGCTTACCCTGCTGTATCCTCTATACCATCCTGCTAGTCTTGGGAATACTCCATCAACAAATTCATTACAAGCTTTTTTCTTCTAACCTACAGATCCAGGGCTTTGGCATAAATATCTTTGGCATATCACAGATACTTTTTCCTTAGCTCTCTAAGGCTTAGGAATAGTGAGGGCAAATAGCAATTAAAACATTTGTTTTACTCAAGGACATAATAAATGTGCTTGCAAAAAAGTATCCTACTTTCAAGCAGACAGGTCAGTGAGTTTTTATATATTTTATATATTCACCTACCACTAAGATTGACATATAGAACATTTCCAGTGCCCTAAATTCTCATTTTTTTTGTCACTGCCCAGTTGATAGTCTCCTCTCTGCTTAGAGGCAGCCTCTGTTCTCACTTCCAGAGATGATGTTCATTTTTAATGGCAAAGAAAGAGGTTTTGGCTGATTGCAAGGTAGAAGATGGAATAGGGGTATATGAGACAATGGATATTAATAATTGGACAGTCTGTCAAAAGCAAGAGAAGATTGCTTCTCTTCAAAGGCAATACTGGGATGGCCTAGCACGGCTGTTTGGCCCTTGTTGTTCTGGGCCTGTGGTAGCACAGTAGTCTATGGTGGAGAGTGTAGTAGAGGAGGCCTGCTCACCTCTTGGTAACCAGGAATGAAACAAAAGGATAGGAGGAGCCAGAATCCCCATGTCTCCTTCAAGGGCACCCACAGTGACCTGACTTTGTCAGACTAGGCCTCCCATCCTAAAGGTTCCACCACCTCTCAGTGTTCCATGAGATGAGCACCAAACCTTTAACACATGGTCCTTTGGGGAATATTCACCATCTAGACAATTAACACCATTTGTAAGTCTTCTTTTGAGAAATACCTGTTTAGATTTAATGCCTTTATTGGGTCAGAGTCCCAGTATGTAGCCTAGCCTGGCTTTGGGAATATTCACCACCCAAACTATAGCACCATTTATATGTCTTCTTTTGAGACAGAGTCCCACTATGTAGCCTAGTCTTGATCTTCCTGCCTTAGCCTCCCAAATGCAGGGATTATAAGTATGCACTGCCTGACTGTATTAGCCCATTTCAAAATTTTATTGTTTGGTTTTGCTACCGAGATTTTAGAGTTGCTTATATATTCTGGATGCTAACTCCTTGTCAGATAGTTTGTAAATATTTTCTCCCATATTGGAGGTTGTCTGTGTACTCTATTGATTACTTCCTTTGTCATGTGTCATGCAGAAGCCTTTTAGTTTAATATAATACCATTTGGCTCGTTTTGCATTTGTTATCTGTGTTTTATTATGTTTAATTGCCCATTCCAATGCCCTGAAGGCTTTCCTGTTTTTTTTTT